GTTAAATTGTGTTTTATTTTAAAAGAAAATACTCATTGTTCAGGTATTGAAAAATCACGGAATTTGTAAAGGTCAATATATTTCAGGGTGAAATAGGCTCGTTGCACTTAAATACGCAACCCTCGTGGAGCCGAAAATCCTAATGGGGGTGCTCAAAACATGGATTCAAATTTAATTTAGTAGAATTTCATGTTTTTGTTTAAATTTACAATTTCTGAATAATGTCGATGCGTTTCTAATGTGAAAATATATAAATTATTGTGACTCATTTTCATGTTCAGATTATGCCAAGGACCGTTACGTTTATAATATGGAAAGCGAATTGAAAATAGTTCAACGAATAACAGTTGTATGGATCGATACGGAAAGAGACAAACGTACTCAGGAGGATAGAAATTTATTGAAAATATTACAATCAAACAAGAAAATAGACTTGCACATATTCGATGATACAGAATCGGCTATCTACTTTCTCACTGATAAAAGTTTCGAACATGTTCAGCTAGTGATTAATAGCAGTTCTGCGGATGAATTTTTTTGCTATGCAAGAAATAGCACAAATTCAGCAGACAGTTTGTATAACTATGTGTGTTTTTGTATTTGACTTATTTGCAATGTAATAAAAAATGTTGGACGCAAATGCCCGAAGTTGCCGAGCGATGCCTAATTTTATCCAATGATCGTTCCTTGCTGCAACGATTTTGTACATTACGAGATACTTTAGGCATGACCATTGCTCAAATTATGTTTCTTGTGGACATCAAAGCATTTGGAAATATGTTTGAAGATGAAGTTGATCCTGTTCAACATGAAGTTGTCTTGGGCGAAAATTGTAATGAAACTAAAATGGATTTTATTGGCTATACGTCAGGTAATAGTATATATATACCAAAACTCTTTCAACATCTTCGTTTCGCCAAACAAATTAATCTACCAAAAAACGATGCACAAATAGCAGCAGCTGTTATGTTTTGCAGACGGCATGGTTTATCAACAGAACAAATTGCATCGATCTGTCGTTATTTTTCTCCTGGTTGTTGCATTCGATCTCGAACATTGATCAAATATTTTTTTCGATTATGGTCACCTGAATCACCACCGTTCTATAGACATGTCAATCAAGCACTCTCTGAATGTAATGTTGAAGATGCACATCTTCTACGTTTCATTTTATATGATTATTTTGAAATGTTTTTTGATAAATCATTACCGTATTTTTGTGGTATGCTCTATCGTGGAATTCATACAACAGAAGAGAACATGGTGTCACTTATGGACCGTGTCGGTGAACAAATTTATTTTGTTTGTTTCACTTCGACATAAAAAAATCCTGCACGTGCTATGGTTGGTGGAAATCTTTTGTTTGAAATTGAGACATTGACCGAACAACACAACAACGTGAATGTCGAATACAAACCAATGACGATATTTCTACTTTCTCAGAGTTTTCTGAAGAAGAAGCAATCTATACACCATTGACTAAATTTCGTCTCCTACGCGTTACCTACAATGTTGATGAAAAGGGCAACATGCAGTGCACTGCTAGAATCCGTGAGCAAGGTGCAAGTATTTTTTTTTCAATTATTTCAGGATAAACTACGTCTACCAAATCGGACACCATTCCAAAGTGGTACGGATATGTGGGAAACGAAAAATGATGACTGTTTTGTCGATGTTTTAGAATACATGAAATCATGTATTTGATGTCTTAAACGAATGTATGCATGTTGCTTTTGTTCTCATTGTAAACACTCATATACATATATAATAAACATAATCATTTAAATCATGAGTGTGACAGTTAAGTTTGTTGACGAATCTTCACTTAAACACCATTTCTCATTCTTATAAAGTCGATTTTCTGTTAACTTTTGCACCTTTTTATACCACAATTTGAACATAAAGAACAGTGAGTTCTAATTATGTGTTTCGAGAACAATTTAATCAACATATTTCAACTCCAAAAGATTTCTTGCAGAAAAATCGAAAACATTTACTTTCAAATTACATGAATGTCAAGCAAATTTTGTTTTATATGTTTTTGTGTATGTTTGAGGACATAAGATTGATGTTTTAGAGTCAATCTTCTCCGAATCGTCAATTTTGATGAAAAACATGTGAGCGCATATTTCTACAGGATTAAAATGTGACACATGATTCAGTTACTTTGCTTTCAAATCGTGCTTCACAAAAGGCAAGAAAGTGCTAACGCGATTAAAATTAATATGATTCCATCGCTAGTTAAAGTATAAGGATCAATTCCTAGATCTGATGCAGGTTTATGAAAAGACCTTGTGCGAGACTAAGTAAGAGAAATCTCAATCTTGACCATGGGTTCGACTGAAATAACTTTTGGTCGAGTCAGAACCGTGACTTTTTTCTAGTTACATATCGAAGATTAATTTGATTAAAAACCACTTTATTCTTCGATTATTTGCTTGAAAGGGGAAAATCACAGCGTTCCAGGAAAGTCAATTTTCAACAATCATTAATGACGGTCAATGTTGAACTTTTGAACTCGATGATTTCCATTATCACACACGTAGATATTTCCTTCTCTATCAAAAGTTAAGCCAATTGGAGAATGGAGCTGATTCGATTGGCTTCCTTGGCCATTTCCACCAATGATAATGCTTCCCTGCTGAGCTCCTTGAGACCAACGCATTATTCGATGATTGCCCTGATCAACTACATAGACACTACCGGACTGATCCACAAAAAGTCCACGAGGATTGGATAATTGACCAAGACGGTTTCCTCTATCTTGAACATCAGCGACAACAATACCTTGTTTCGCTCCTTTCATCCACTTCATCACACGATGGTCACTGCAGTCTGATACGTATACTGACTGATCTCGATCGACGAATATATGTCTAGGATTATTCAATTGATCAAGACGATTTCCCTGACCGTTTCCACCTGCAACTACTGTTCCTCGATTTTCTCCCATTCGATACCGTCTAGGGTGTGGGTGTGAGTGTGAGTGTGAGTGTGAGTGTGAGTGTGAGTGTGAGTGTGCGTGTGAGGGGGGGTG